CCATCAGGGGGTGGGGGGAGGGGGAGAGAGGAAAAGCTCTCCCTCTGATAGAAGGTTGTAAACTTTCTGACTTTTGAGAAAAATCAAGAGGGAAAAAAAACAGGAAAAGTTCTCTAAGGCAGTTCTAAATGCGGGTTTATATTTCCGCGCCTAAATCTTTATTTAGATGTTTCAGAAGTTTGAGGCAATGTTCAAGAATGCAATGATCGCTGCCAATTGTGACTGGGTACGGTAAACACCGTTGAACGAATATCGTTACTCAATGTTTACTGTGTGTCAACTTGATGTTTCTATGCTCCTGGGATCGATTTAAAGTCAACTAGGCAAATTAAACTCACTGGGGTTTCACTACTTTTGCGAAACCTCAGAAAGACTCGCATCCTGGTTAAGTGGCAGTTCTAGACAACTACAGATGCCGAGGGCAAGTTATCGGAGTTCTGGCCTTTGTCCCAAGGGGTGTTTAATCGAGAAAGTACGGCCTACTCACGCATTTTGATTTCAAGAACGCGGTAAACCTCGGTGGAACAAAGTTTTCCATACAAACGACACCTCGATAACATTTTCTACGTCAAAATTGAGATTTTTATAGCATTCTATGAGGGTAAACTTACAATGGGGTGAAACCCTTATATTTAGTCAGAAGGTATTGATTTTTTTTCAAATACTTTTGGCCATCGTGACGCACTTCAGCGAACCTTGCATGATAAGTTGTAAAACTTCGTTCAAACCTATCAATGTATTTTGTGCAACATGTCAATCATTCAGTTAAACCCTGCCTTATTCATTGGTTCATTTGTATCAAGTGACCCGAAAATTAGCTCTCCTATATGTTCTATAATTTCTTGAAGTCAAGTTACGGAGTTTGTTTCTAAATCAGTTGTTAAGCTGACTTAGGAGGTTTCGCAGGAGCAGCGAAACCCCACAAAATTTAGGTCACTTAGCTTTGAATTAATTGGCAAAGAAATATGTTAAACCAGGAGGAACGAACCGGGAGGAAACGAATTTATGCATTTATGCCAAGTGATGCGAATGTAAGCTATCACATATTTTTTGCCTAAGTATGGTATTTAGGTTTGACGCTGTCATGGGTGATTTGATATGATAATTAATATTAGTGAATTTGTAACCACGCAAGTGCAAATATTGATTCATATTGAAATAGAATATAATCTTTAAAATATTACTATTTACTTATAAGGCCCTGAAAGCTTTAGTACCTCAATACATATCTGATTTTTTAGTACAACATAAACCACCTAGAGCTTTGCGTTCGTCTGATAAGAAACTGTTACAAGTTCCTCGTTTCAAGCTTAAGACTTATGGAGGCAGATCTTTTAGTTATATAGCTCCATATCTGTGGAATCAGCTTCCGGACGCCATGCGGCAAGCACCATCGCTTGTGACATTTAAATCCAACCTGAAGACTCATTTATTCGATTAAGTCTTTAATTAGTCATTATGTTTTTGCTTAATACTTTTAGTAAGTTTTTTTTAGTTATCTTTATCTTATTTTTTATCCATATAGCTGTACAGCGCTCTGAACTCTAGCATGGGCGCTATAAAAGTCTTGTATTATTATTATTATTATAGAATAATTGTTCCAAACTCAGTGAGAAAAGAGATGAAAGCAAGAATACATGAAGGACACTTAGGCATTGAAAGATGTAAAACTAGAGCCAGAGAATGTCTCATCTGGCCAGGAATAACCATTGAGATAGCAGATATGATTTCACGGTGTGACATGTGCATTCAAGCACGGAAGAAACAGCAGAGAGAGCCATTGATGCCACTACCGCCAACCACTCGCGCCTGGAGCAGAGTAGCATACGATCTCTTCCAGATGAATAGAAGAGACTATCTCCTCATAGTGGACTATCACACAAGCTACCCTGAGGTTAGCCTACTTACGGAGACAACGAGCTCTGCAATAATCACACACACCAAATCAATCTTCGTGAGGCACTGCATCCCAGACAGTCATCACAGATAACAGTCTTCAATTTTCCAGCAGAGAACTGATACCGTGAATTTGCCAAACAGTGGGAGTTCACACACACAACGACAAGTCCAATACACCCTAGATCAAATGGAAAGGTTGAGCGAACTGTGCAAACAATCAAGGGACTTCTCAAAAAAGCTATCAGGTCTGGCGATGACCCATGTATTACATTGTTGAATTTCAGAGCCTGCACATCACTCGACGGCACGCCATCACCAGCCATGCTCCTAATGAACAGAAAACTCAAAACACACCTACCTAAGACCTATGCGTATGTTACACGATGTGGAAGGGTTGTGAGGCCACCCACAAGATTTTATTGACTCAAATAATGATATATTCATTACTATTGCACTAGATCAGCAACTATAGACCTTCTTGCTTATATTAATGTTTCGTTCAAGTTGTACTTCTCATCCCTTTCGGAGAGGAGATGTCATGAGTGATTTGATATGATAATTAATATTAGTGAATTTGTAACCACGCAAGTGGAAATTTTGATTCATTAGAATAAAGCACGTGTTGAGTAAGCCCGCTTTGACTGCGCTTATTACAGAATACAGACGCCACCTTCCTGAAACTACTCCTGAAAACCAAAGCAGATTGCTCTGATAAATCTGAGGCTTTTAGAGACGATGCCGCTAAAGGAATCTTACGTTATCTGGAACAACAAAGGTGGAGTGGGTAAGACTACTCTTACTTTCCACATGGCCACAAGATATGCCCAGCGCAACCCCAATGTAAACGTTGCCGTAATTGATCTTTGTCCCCAAGCAAATATCTCGATGGCTTTACTGACCACCCCCGAAAAAGAAGGTTGCGATCTCCTGGCATCTTTGTACAGAGCGAACAAGACGATCAGCCTCTATCTCGAAAAACAGATTGATTTGGGGCCAAAAATGTTATACGCTAGCGATTATCTTACCCGAGTGAGTGATTACAACAGTCAAGTTTCTTCCAATCTGTACCTTCTTTCTGGTGACATGTGCCTGGAGTTGGCAACTCGTGGTCTTGACTACTTCCGACGCGGGATGGATAGTCCCAGAGTTACGCCATGAAAGACTGTCACTACCTCCATCAGGTCATTCATTGAAGGTTCAGAAAAGAGAATCAGAGGAGTGAGTCAAGACAGCCGGAATCAATGGGTCGTTTTCATCGATACCAATCCATCGTTTTCGATTTATACCGAAATAGCGCTCGCAGCAGCGAACAAGTTGATCATCCCAATCAACGCAGATGATTTTTCCAAGCAGGCTGTTCGTGCAATGTTGGA